AGCCTTTAATCCCAGCACTTGGAAGGCAGAGGCAGGTGGATCTCTGTGAGTTTGAGACCAGCCTGGTCTACATAGTAAGTTTCAGGTCACCTGGGGCTACAGAGAGCCCCTGCTCAAAAAGACCAAAAAAATCCAGAATCCACCTTCAGGCTTAAGAATCCCTCTTCATCCACCTCTAATCCCAGCACTTGGGAGGCAGAGGCAGGTGGTCTACATAGTGAGTTCTAGGCCAGCTGGGGCTACAGAGAGACCCTGTCTCAAAAAAAAAAAAAAAAAAAAAAAGAAGCCATCTTCAACCTGCGACAGCCTGTCTAATTCCTCCTGGACCAGGTGGAGTGTGGTGCTCCAAGGACATAACTTAAGGGCAACTGTATATGTTCACATGATCAGGACACAGGCCAGGCCAGATAGGGAGAATCCAAGGTAGGCAGACTAAATGTCCATCACTTGAGTCCTAGGCTCACTAGGGGAGACTGGAAGGCTCCAGGAAGCCCAGTCTCATAGCCACTATCCAAGTTCAAGTCCTTGGCAGGCTTGCTGCAGGCCAGATGGGTAAACATCCCTCTAATCTCTGGCTACCCCTCATGGGCTGAGCTCTCATCTTGGCTGGGCCTTCCCTAAGATCCAGGACCTGGACCCTGGGAAAGTGGTAGATGGGCAGGACTATGTCAAGCTACCCTGGAGGAACCACACCTGATCTGCAGAGGTCATCCTAGGCTTCAAGGGAAGGTGGCTTACACTTCTAGAAGGACCCCAGGGCAAGAGACTGCCTTCCAGAGTACCTCCTGTGTCATGATCTCAGCAGTGTCAGAGGGCCTCAGCAGTGGTCACAGCATGCTCCAGCTGCTGAAGCAGCTCCTCTGGCTGTGGTGAGAATGCGCTGATGTCCACTCTCTTAAAGTCAGGATGTGTGACCACAGAGGCCAGCACATCTGTGAGGCGGCCAACATCAAACACAGCCTGCTGCAAGCCTAGCTCTAGGCCTGTATTGTTCCCTCCATCCCCTTCCAGCTCTTGCCTCAGGATGAGTAGTCTCCTTTCAGCAATGACCTTGAGGAAATGGTAAAATTCTTCAAAATTTATCCCCGTGCAGGATCTCATGATGACCTGGGCCAAGAGGAAAGAGCAGTGAGTCCCAGAGTCACATCCGGACTCTGCTCCAGTATATGAAGACTTCCCCAGACAGAGGTATGGATTCCAGACAGTGGCCACCAGGGTCTGAGTCATGCAGCCTGGCCCTGGTGTCTGCACTGGCCCCTAGGCTGACCCAACATGGGCTGGTGGCCACCCACCTGGCAGTGGTGATGCCAGTCTGGCATGGAGTCTTTCCACTCGCTAACCTCCTTCTGTACAGCCTGGAGCTCCTGCTGGAGGAAGTGCCACATGTTGGCCAGGTTGAAGCCATTGATCCAGTTGTGGTTGATAGAGATGGTGTCGTCCTGGAGGGTAGGAGACAAGCTAATTCATGAAGCTATAGCAGACACTACCCTGGGTGAGCAAACCCCATTTTACCCAGTGCTCTGGGTAGATGTGCTAGCTCTGTTAACCTGACACAACCTAGAATTATTTGGGAAGAAAGTCTCAATGAGGGATTGTCTTTATTAGGTTGGCCTGTGGGCATGTCTTAATTAAACTAACTGATGTGGGAAGACACAGCCCACTGTGGGTGGCGTCATTCCCTTGGCAGGGGATCCTGAACTGTGTAAGAGTGGAGAAATCTGGCTGAGCACAAGTAGTATGTATAAACTAATTTCTTTCTACTCTTGACTACGGATGTGATGTGACTGGCTGTTTGAAATTCTTGCCTTGACTTCCCTGAAATGAAAGATTGTAACTTGGAATCTCCCAAGTTGCTTTTTGTCAGGGTATTACAGCAACTGAAATGAAATTAGAATAGTGGGAAGACACTCAACCATTGTAGCCAGGAAATGCTGGTCCCACCTCATGATGGGGCCAGCACAATGGGATGAGAGCTGGGGGCTGAGACCATTTCAGACTTTACAGGCAGGGCAAGAACCAGGCCAGAATGGAGCAAGAAGCTAGATGCTCCATAGCCTCACCTGTGGCTGCTCTACCCTATACCATGGCTCTGCAGGGGAATGATCAGGAGGTAGTTGAGGTAGGTGGGGGTGGGATGTAGGGATGGGAAAGGGTGGAAGGGGGATGAAGAGAGAGGGGAGCCTGGCAAGGGCAGGGCGACATGTGTTGCCTTACCAGGTTGTACACTTGATGGTGCCACCCGCTGGGCACGAACACCATCTCACCAGCCTCCTGTATGACTTCAAGGGGTGGGCTGCTGTCCTGGATCCTGGGATACAGACGGGTATCCAGGAGTTCAGGAGAGGTCATGTCATAGGGCAGGGCACCATGGCAGTCACGCAGGGCCTCTTCCTGCCCTGGTGGGAAGAACAACCATTTCTTCCTCCCGCAGATGTTGACTGACCAGCTGAAGGAGTGGAAGATGTCCGCATGGAAGGGTGACCTATAGCAAAGGCTCCTGGTTTGTACCTTATACAGTATAGGGTGGGCCCTGATTCTTTTGATGGGCAGGCACCCTAGGTGGCCATACCTCCCACCTCATCTTCACCAGGTGCCCAAGGATCCCTCCTGTCATTACCAGGTGCCCATCGGCCCCGCATAGACAAAACGGTAGTCATCCACGTTGAGGGCATCCCAGAATTCATTCAGCCAGTCTGATGAGAAGTACACAGGCAGGGTGAACACATCCTCCAAGTCCTCCACTGAGGAATCCCTGAGGAAAGAGCAGGAGCTCTAGCACTGGTCTACCCTGTGCCCCATCCCAACAGGCTCACCCATATTAAATGGGGCCACCTAGAACCACCTAGCCCTAGTGGGGTTTGTGAAAGATGCAGATTCTATCCTGAGGATCTGAACTTCAAATTGCTCAGGCCAGAATGGTGAGGACAGAAGATGGCTTTGGGGGCACACTGGCAAAACCACCCCACTTGGGCAATGGGGGCTCTGAACACATGGTATCATCCCACTTCTTGAGCTGTGAGTCTCCTTCATTTCTTTACCAACACTGAAGAACTTAATTCTAGCTGGCAACTTCAGGCTGCAGGCACAGGTGTGAGGGCTTCAACCTCATCAGTGGGCCCCCAAATACTGGAACATGTTACATCAGACTCAGGGAAGGCACAACTCAATCAAAACCATGCCGGAAAAAGCTTCTAGATTCATGTGCCCATAACTCCCATCAAGAGACATTGACAGGTAGAGCCCAGGTGGCAACAAATTACCTGTATGTCTCCAAATACCACCAGGATCTCCTGCCTAGCCTGCCTTTGACCATTCAGCAAACTTATTCATCTATAAAACCTTGCTCAGGCATCACTTCCCCTCTGGTCTCCTGACTGTGTGACACCATGCCCTCCTCTCACCTCTTTGGTTTTTGAGACTTCCAGGGAAAAAAAAAAAAAAACTGCAAAAAACCCAACAAACAAAAACCCCCAACAAACATTGGATTTCAAATATAACCATTTTCTAGCGTAAGTATACACCGTGTAATATTTGGGAAATACGCATACCAAGAAAAACTAAGTGGTTATCTAAAGCTCCAACCACTGCACACAATCGTATTTGGATCTATGAGTCTGTCTCTGCTGCCAGGTCAGGCAACATCCAGGACCAGAACCAGCATCTAGCTACACTTTACCCACCTTTTATCTGGGTCAGCTCTGCACCAAACAAGTAGCAGAACAGCAGGATAGCCAGGACCTGCTGTGTCTCTGTTTTTAGTCAGTTGTGGGAGCTGCAGGAGCCTAAATTCTCTCTCACTTACCTCCCTGGGCCTTAGTTTGCATACAAGGGATACAGGAATCAAATGATCCACTGGTTCATTCAATATCATTCTGTATCTTCTGTTGGGGGAAGGGGGATTGTCAAACACAGTGATCTGTGCTTGTGAAAATCACACTTGGCAGGGGAGACACACAATCCCTGGCCTGCTGTGGGAAGGGGTGGATACACTTCCCATAGTGAACATCATGTGGTCTGGGTCTTAGGTGCAGGTGAAGTTCTTGAAATGAAGTCCAGATGCTCCTTAGCTTAATACTGGCTTATGTCCTGACATGTTCAAGTTGAAAATACTACAAACGTTAAAATGTACTGACAAGGGCTAGAGAGATAGCTCAGCAGTTAAAAGCACTGGCTGATCTTGCAGAGGACCTGGGTTCCCAGCACCCACATGGAGGTTAACAACTGGCCATAACTCCAGTTCCAGGGGATCCAACACCCTCTTCTGATCTCTGCAGGCACTGCATAACACGGGTGCACTTATATACATGCAGGCAATGCACTCATACACATAAATAAAATATTTTAAAAACTTACTAACACCATGTATTTAGATATGGAAGGCCCTAGACTCAATTTCCAGTACCCCAAACAAAAAAAGCAGCAGTGTACCTAACTGCATGAACACTATGGCTTAGCAACACAGCACACAGTAGCTGGGTGATTATTTCCTATAGAGACCATGGGTCTGAGGGGACTGTGGCTTTTTGCCACTGCCAAGCTATGAACAGATCATATACAGCTAGCCCAGGAAACAGCAAAATTCAAAATTTGAAGTACAGTTTCTACTGAATGCACAGCTCTCTTGCATCATCACAAAAATCAAAATCTCCTAAGTCAAGTCATCACAAGTTGAAGACTGTGCGGAGCAAACGATGACCAATCAGGGAAGGTGCTGAGTGCCTTCTTGAGTAGATTTTCAAAGTGGGGTAGGGGCGGGTCCAGAAAAGTCACTTGCTGCTTTTGAGAACCCAGAATGGCCAGAATATGGCAAGGGTCCCCAGCCATGGCAAGGCAAGAAGGAGCAGATCTGTCCTCAGCGGCGGGGGTGGGGGGGGGTGGGAGGGTCGTCCCAAAGGATCTGAGAGGAACCTGCTCAAACATCATATAGAACAGGAGAAAGACAGTATATCCCACCTGCACCCATACAAGATTCATACAACACTTATTTTCCTCACGGCAGCCAACCTGGGCTGTCATGTTGACCTTGCTAAGGAACCACCCCACCACGGGCTGGAGGCAGACTAGAACACTTCGCTGGAGCAAGGAGCTCCTCAGATGTGCAGCAGGTGTACTCTACCAGGAAGACCTGCACGCGTTGATCTTGGGGGGTGGAGGTGGGGTGGGTGGCCATTGGCCGGCCCCATTACCTGCATAGGTGCCAGTCCTTGAGGTAGAGGCACCCCCGCGGGGAGGAGCAGCCTCCTTGGATATACTCCTTCCAATAACTGACGTAGTCGCGGAAGGGCATGTGCTCCTTGGGGTTTGAGTTGTATTCTCGGACCTCACAGTTGGCAACCGGTACTACCACGTCTCCTGCAGTGAGAGGGTCAACACAGACGTGGCTGTGCGTCATCGGTGTGGTTCACCCTCTGCGCGAATTCTCCAGATTTCACCCGTCTGTCCGGCCATCCTGTCCACCGTCCCGTGGTTCGGCGTTCGACAGCCCTCCCGTCCCAGGGTCTGGGGCTCCCCGCTGCCCCAAATTCCTGGTCCCCTCCGGCGGCCTCCTACCATACTTCTGCAGCAGGTACTCGAAGTCCGGCTTCCCCGCGGACGTCACCCAGCGCCTCCGGCTGCCCCAGCCCTCGGTGAAAGCACTAGAAAACACGCAAGGCAGGTTGGGCAGTAGGAAGCCCTTCACGAAGTCGGCGTAGGGGAAGGCGTCCGGCACCTGGATGAAGGCCACGCCGCTCGGCACTGGCAGGCAGCCGCCGGGTACTTGGCCCCCGAGGTCCCGGAAGTGCTGTTCAGCAAAGATGCGCGTCTCCCGGTCCATCCGCCAGGGAACACAGACCCAGAGGCCCAGCCCGGCTTCTCACTCCACTGCAGATGTGAAGTGGAGGTAGAGAAACCGCTAAAACCACTCTGGAGGCCGGAACCAGAAACCCGAGTTGTGGCTTTCCGGCAGGAACTCTAACTGCAGCACTCCGGATATATGCGCATGCGTCCTACGTATTCCCGCCCTCTCGCGCAGGCGCGCCAGCGTTCGCAGGGCGGTGAACCGGCTATTCAGTGGCAGGTGTCGGCGTCTGGTGGTCCAGCGGTGCGGGTCTGTGCCTCAGCTTCGCTTGCTGCTGGTCTGCAGCTGAGCAGTGCTCGAACCCGCTCCGGAGACGCGAGGTGAACAGGAGCTCTAGAAGGGATGGCGGGGAGCGGAGCGGATGATGAGGAATCCAGGAGGACGGTTGGGCTCGGAGTCTCCCGGACTAGGTTGAGGAGGAATCTTTCCAGGTGTTGTGATGTTTATATAGAAACCGAATGTGGCTAATCAAGAGGGAGAACAAGGAGGAAAGTGAGTTTAGGGAGAGTCCGAGATCCAGGTACAGGGGTGTGAATTGGGAAGAAAGAAGTGACAGGAACAGAAGGTGTAGAGTTGTTTGATATACTCGCGTGTTGTGGACTTCACTGTGATTCCTCTGGTCAAGGAACACTTTATTGTGGTTAGGAGGTCCTGGTGGGAGATGACAGCTCACAGAGAAGTTCAGATGGACAGAAAGACTCAATCTATGCCGGGTTACATACCTGTAATCCCAGCACTGGGGAGGCGGAGGCAGAAGGATGGAGAGTTCCAGGCCAACATGAGCCACAAACCAAGACCTTATTTCCAAAATGGAAAAAAAAAATCCAAAGTACAACACAATAAAAACCCATCCTATCCATAATTCCATCTCATGTGATCATCATTAAACTTTCTGGTATTAAGCCGTTTTTTCCAGGCACACACAGATTCATTCACTTTATTCTTGTTCCTTCTCCCTCCCCTGGGCTCTTTTCCTTCCCTTCCTACATTGGTAGTGTGTTATATTGGAAAATACCCTTTAGATGTTTATCCTACTTTGTGACTGAATTGTAATTCCTAAAATCCTTGGAATGTCCGAACAGATAAATGTCATTTTGCTTGTTAATGAGCCCACTACCAGCCAGCATGCCCTAGGGTATCTTCAAGGTGCATTTGGTCACTGAAAGATCTGAGTAGGATCAGAGGGTGGGGTCTTTAAGCCCTGCTCTCGGCCTCCAGAAAGGAAGAGGGTTTGAAGGTTGAGTGGCTCACCAATGGCAGTGGTTTAATCAGTCACGCCCACTAATGAAATGTCCATAAAAGTCCTAAAGGAGATGTTCAGAGAGCTTGCAAGTTGCTGAACATGTAGAGGTTTGTAGAGGGTATGCCTAGGGAGACTGTGGACCCTGTCTTCTCATATCTGACCTCTTGCATCTCTTTGCACCCTTTGTAATATCCTTTATAATAAAATAGTAAATATGTTAGTGTTTCTCTGAGTTCTGTGAGCTATTGGAGAAAATCTAACCCAAGGAGGAGTCTTGGGAACTCTGATTTATAGCTGCTGGTCATCAGAAAGAGATTGGATCACCTGGACTTGCATCTTCTCTGAAATGAGAACAACTTGGGGGATTTAGACCCCAAACTTGGGATCTGATGCTGTCTCCAGGTAGACAGTGTCAGAGCTGAACTGAATCAGAGGACACCCTGGTGGTATCCACGGCTGAGGAACTGACTGCTTGCTGGTTGGGAGAAGTTTCTACACCTTTTAGAGTCCCAGAATCTGTGTTGACTGTGATGTGAGAGCAGAGGTAAAATAAATAGTTTCTTTAACATAATATGAAACTCAGATAGGAATTGCTCCTTCACCTCCATGGCTGAAATTAGCTTCTTTGAGAAAGAGGAGGTTGGGGCCAGCAGGTGTATACACAACCCAGCTCCTAATGCTGTAACTAAATCATGGGCTACATAGTTACGGTTATATTTCTGGTCTCCACAAGGTGGCCCCCTGGTGTCAATGTCAGCATGGAATATGTGGGTCCTGGAGAGGCTTGAAACAGGTGTGTGTCCCTGAAGTTGCTCCTCCCATTCTCAGCTGGGAACTCGCTAATGATGCACATCCTCGGCCCACACAAACCTATCGAAACTCCATATCCTGGGCGGAGCCACCCCAGAGGAAAACAGGAAAGGATTGGAGTTGGCACTCTGGAGGAGATGAGGTGGAAACAGTGGATGGTCTCAGTTCTCTCCGAGTATCTAATGCATGCCCTGCAGACAGGCCGTGGTGTTTGGAAAACACCCCCAGACAGTGTGGCTGAGCCTCCCAGGGTGGGGATGGGAACTTCTGAGGGAGTGGAAAGAGGGTCTGCTGCAGAGCAGGAGGGCAGGTAATGGAAAAAGCTAGCCTCACCGCCTCCGCCATGCACACACTGTCCCACTGTTCTTCCTCCCAGCCTAGTAGTGGAAGGTGTGCAAAATGTTTCTTGTTCTGTTACTTTGGAAATTAGCTAAAAATAGGGTGTTTACTTGCTATTGAGTCTCCCTCAAGGGCACATATGTGATGGAAATGCTGAAAGAGACTCATTATGCTATCTCAGTGTGTTAGGGTTCGCAGTCATGTGACTGTGGCCTTATTCCCTAAGAACCTCACTTGTATAGACAGACTAGCCTGACATTCAAGGGCTCCCTGCCATGGCCTCCCACAGCAATTCTGCCTCTTATATACAGGGTCAGCAAAGGGCTTCAGTTCCAAACCTGCATTGGTGGAGGTAAATTCCAAAGACAGATGACACCAAATAAAGACTCCAGGAGCAGAACATCTTCGGAGGGCATTCCACGGTCCCACCTCAGTGTGTGCATTGGGTGCCCTGAAGTGCACAAGGCTCACTTCTGTGAAGGTCACCTCCTTTGGTGCACAGAAGTTGAGTTAACTTTGGAAATAATAGGGCAAGCTCTCTGCAGTATGGGGATGCTGTCTGTGGTTGGTGATGGGCATTAGGAAGTATAAAGGTGCAATTTAAAGTGGGAAAGCAATTCAGAGTCAACAGTGAGGAACTCTTGAAACAGGAATGGAAAGAAAAGGGTGGCAGGATGATCCTCAGAGGCCATTAGATTGTGGAGAGGGGTTGGACTTTGTGCAAAGTATGTCAGAAGCTTGTTTTGCAGTGCTTTTTTCTTCCTTTTTGCAGAACCCAGGGTTTTCCATATGCTAAGCAAGTGCTTCACCCCCATCCTACATTGAGAAGAGTTTTTGGCAGAAGCGTGACATTTTATAATTCTGTTTCCTGACTGCCTGATGGATTGCTAGGCAGAGAATAGGCCGAAAGGTTGGAAAAGTGAGAGGGTCAATGAAGGGTTGTGCAGGTTAGCAATGACACAGTTCTGGAGATTGATGTCGATATGGGGTCTGGGCAGTAGAGAGCTGCCAGAACTTGCTGATAGGTTTAAGAGACTGAGGAAGAGAGAGATTCTGAAAGCTCTTTGGTTCCAACAGAGGTTTTGTTGAGAAGAGGAACACACAGTGGGGGTTAATCAAGTATGAGTTCTCCCACAGGTGACCAGACAAGGTAGGGCTGATCTGATTGGACATGCATGTTAGGTGTGACCTCAAAGATTCCTAGCAGATGTCTGAGTTAAAGCTTTAGGAGTTCCTGGGCTTGGTAGCTGTGATGAAAGACATTTACCTTGCCAGTGATGCTCTCTTACACCTTTGTGTTTCATAGTGGAGGCAGTAGTTGGGAGGGATGATGGCATCTGGGGGAGGTTTGTGTTTGTTTTCAGTTGGAGATCTTAGAGCAGGCTTGTAAACTGATGGAGAAAATGGGATTGGCCCACTACAGCTTGCAGCCCACATTCAGCTGCCATGGCTCTATAGGAAGGCCTGGCTTCAAAAACGGCAGGAGTCCCTTCTCAAGGACTCTAGAGACTGTGTTAGTCGAGGCAAGAGGCAAGTAGGAATGTCAGGGGGTCTGTCTGTGCTTGAGCAACTTCTGTGCGTGGACAGGGACAATTTTCTACCTTCTGCCCTTATCTCTTTATTTTGGTTTTCTGGGAAAGGTGTCCTGGAAATCTGTAGTAGGAAAAGTTATGACCACATGTTTCTTCCATGACATTTGTCAAACATGGATATTATTCTCATACTTCTTGTCTGTTATATCATAATGACAAGTGCTTACTGTTCCTTTCCTCAACTTTTGATTTTCTATCCCTTTCTCTGAATCTTTGGAATGTCTTAGAGCTGATGTTGGTCTGAGGGCTTTTAGTTATTTTACCGGAGGGTAAACAGAAACCCAAAGGTGAGGTAACTTTTCCCAAGTTGTAAAGCTGTGGCGGAGCTGGAGGAGCTGCAGCTGGAACCACAGTGATCTTCTTCTGGTGCTATGATGACTGGTCTGGTGATTCTCGGGAATTTGTATAATTTCACTTCACACTCATGGAGTAGCTCCCAGAATTCTGATCAGGAACAACTGTGGGGATCAGGGGATTGCTGATACAAACTCACTTTTTGCTATGTCTAGTAATGTGGCAGTGTGATGTCCTGTTTCCTGGAATACAATTCCTAAAATCCTGGGAAGTGAAGTGTCTTCCACATACTAAATGGGCCCTCTGCTGGCCAGCAGCCCTTAGGACTGAAAGACCAGGTGAGGACCTTCAGCTTCACCCTCAGGCCCCAGGGGAAGAAGAGGGGCTGAAGGTTGAGGGGGTCACCAATGTCCAATGAGTATGTGGTTGAATCAGTTACATCCATGTAATGAAGTCTCATTGGATAGACTGCCACATACAAAGGTTTCCCAGTAGCTGAACACTTGGAAGTTCCAAGGTGAGCATGAGTCTCACCCCTTGTACTTGGGCCTATGCATCTCTTCATCTACATCTATTGTGATATCCCTTATAATAAAATAGTAAACATAAGTTTTTCTGTGAGATCTGTGAGCTCTTTGAAAAGGTAATCTGAGAGGAGATATGGGACTCCTGACTTATAGGCAGTGGGTCAGATGCAGCCTGGGATTGAGACTGGTGTCTGAAGTGGAGTCCATCTTGGGTACTGACTCTGTCTTCAGGTAGATAAGGTTGCAGTGGAATTAGACAGGGCCACAGGTGGGGGGAGCTCCCACAAGTGTCTGCTTCAGAACTGATTGCTGGATGGTATGTGAGAAGACCCTCACCATGTGTCCAGAGGGCGATTTGTGTTGTGATAATAATATAGAAGAAATGGTGAGCTTGTTTTGCTTTTTTTTTTTTTTCTTACATGGATCCAGTCTCTTGGGGCAGGTCTGGGTATGTCTGAGTAGTAGAAAGCCCCTTTCAGCCAGGAAAGTGGGGCTAGTGCACAAGTATGTGGCTCCCTATCTTAATGCTTATCTTAGGTTTTGAAAACTATGGCTGAACTGAAGTAACTTCCCTGATTCTGAGAAGTAGATACTAGTGACTTTCCAGGGTTCAGTGGTCAAATACATGGCTTTAGGGGTGCTCTTGCCTGTGACCACTAGTCTTCCCCTGGTGTAGGTAGGTCAGTTGAGGCACTAAAGGTCTTGAGTACCAGCTCCCTGTCTTTTGAGGCACCATTGGTGGAAGGCTCAGGCACAGTTTTCCCAGTTCAGGGACATCCAGGTGGAAGACACTGCCACTGGTGTGGCCCTGGTGTGCCAGGGAGGGACCCGTGGTGCAGGCTCACCTGCTGAGCCCCTCCCTCTGAGAGACAAGGCCAGCCTTCTATACAGAAGGAAATGTCTCCTGCAGCTGAGAAAATGTCCCCCACTTTTCCAGTGACATCAGGCTGTGAACTTCCTGGCAGTCTTTCATGGAGCTTTCCTGAAGTGAGAGTGCACGGTGTTTTGTTTGTTTTTAATGCGATGGTTCCTCTTGGTCTGACCAAGGACAGGTTATTAGGAGGCCTGGCTTGGGCTCCCCATTGACCCTGGTTGTTCTCTACAACTTATTGCTATGGTCCTTTATAAAATTTGCTTTTAAATTGTTTGTTTTCTTTGATTTGTGACGATAAAATTCTCATACCTAGTTTGGCAGCTTTCATCGGGAAATGTCCTGGTTTCAGGTGTTAGAGCTGTGGAGCTGTGATCTGCTGGTTTTCAAGAGTAACTTTTATGTTCTGTTGGTTGTGGTTTTTCACTCTAAGATTTCTAGGGCTTTTTTGTTTGTTGTTGTGTAGTCTGTCCGTTGGAGTTTTGTTCATAGAGTTAATTACTTTCCTCATTTTGTTGCTCTGTCTGCGTTCTCTTACATTTCAGTTCATTTCCTTAGGGCTTTATTTTGAGTCCTGTTTTATTCTTTAAAGATTTATTCTTTTTAATTGTGTGTCTGTGTGTGTGTGTGTGCGTGTGCGCGTGTGTTCAGGTGCAGGTGCCCTCAGAGGTCAGAGGTGTTGGGTCTCCCTGGAGCTGGAGTTACAGGCAGTTGTGAACCGCCTGATATGGGTGCTGGGAACTAAACTCAGTCCTCTGGAAGAGAGTACCTGCTCTTAACCATGGGGTCATCTCTTCAGCCTCCTGGTTGTTTCTGTATGTTTTTGTTTTGAGACAGAGTCTCACTGTGTAGTCCAGCTGGCCTATAGCTCTCTATGTAGATCAGGCCGGCCTTGAACTCAGAGAAATCAGTCTCCCTTTGCCTCCTGAGTGCTGGGATTAAAGGCATGTATCACCATACCTGGCCCGATTTTGAACTCTTTTTTTCTAGAATCTCATAGATTTCCTTTGAATCGGGATCTGTTTCTGGAAAATTACTGTGTTTGCTTAGAGATATCATGCATCTTTCCTTCTTTGAATATCTTCTGTCCCTTCATTGATGTCTGCACAAATGGCATAACAGTTGCCTTTTCCAGTTTTATTGGACGAGCTTTCAAAGGAAAATACTTTTATTAGGAACGAGGATTTGGGTGTCGGTGTTTTGGGTTGATTGTGGGTGAGCTGGAAAGGTGGCCTGTGTGGTTTCTCCAGCAGTAGTCAGTTCAGCAGTGCTGTGTGTGCCTCCATAGTCCAGTCGCAACCACATGTATTTTCCTTTGAAAGCATCCCAGTCTACTGACCCAAACTACCCAAGGAGGCCTCACCATAGCGGACCCCATCATAGGGCTGCAGCCTGTTCAAGAGCTTCATATTGACGCAGGTTTTGTTGCTGTGGATCTGGTCCAACTTGAATGGTTTGGTGCAGTGAAGTACAGTGATTATCTGGAAGACTAGCTCTTCAGAAGGTGGCTCAAGGAGAGAATGAATGGAATTCCATTGATTCCACACCCTAGGAATAAGGGAGCTTGCCAGTTCTGTCTCTTATATACTTACTTGCCCATTGTGGCATTTGTATAGCTTATAGACTTGGTGACTGACAGGGGTCTCTGCAGCCCAGAGCTGGGTTATAAAAAACACAGTATTTGAGGGATCATGCTAAGAATTTGTTCTCTCCTGTTAGAAGTAAAGTCATATCATAATAAAACTCTCTCTCCCTTTCTCCCTCTCTCCCTCTTTCCCTCTCCTTCTGTGTATGTGAGAGACAGACAGAGACTAACATAAACATAGGCATAGAGATAGTATGAGTGAGACAAAGTCAGAGACCAATACACAGACATACAGGGAGAGGGAGAACTGGGAGAAGTGTCACTGTATACTTTGCAGTACAGAACACTTCACTGGGCATTACCAGGCCTAGCTCCCACCTAGTCAGTGCCTTAAACTGCAGGGTGGGACCTCCTTTCTTGACTAATATAGTATCTCTACAATGAGATGGTTAGATGACATGTTCAGTAAGGATTCATTCAAGCTGCCATTCATGACTCATGATTACTGTGATGAATGTAAATATGAATATGAAATTGAAAATAGCAGCCAAGCATGGTGGCTCTAACTATAACCTATAACTACAGCACTGGGGAAGTTGGACAGGAGGAACTTGAGTTTGAGGCCAGCCTGGGCTACATAGCAAGTTCAAAGCTGGTTTGAGCTACATGTAAGACCCTGTTTCCAAAAAACCAAGGGCTGGGGATATAGCTCAGCAGTAGAGTGCTTGACTAGCATGCACAAGGCTCTGGGTTTGACCCTCAGCACTGGGGGTAAAAATAGAAGTAGAAGAAAATGAAGAGAGTGTATCTCACTACACAAAGCTCTTTGTGTATGGATGCATCCATGTAAATGTGACTCCATAGTTAGGTAGTATTCTGAGATACTGTCCAGGAACAAAACATGTGTCTGTAGGACTTTTCTGTAAGCAGTGGAATACATTCACAGAGAAATGAAAGCAGACCTTAGGAGGACCTTGTGTGCTTGTATGGATATACAGTGTTGGGGACATCCCAGCTATAAGACTGTGTGCACAGAAAGGTTCTGGGGCTTTGCCTGTAGGGCTTGCTGTCTTCAAGGTATGCCCAGTAGGCACAGGAATAAGGATCTTACGGTGGGACAAGTACAGTCCTGGGCTTGGAGGTTTGGGTTCTGATCTCAACCCTCTTCACCCTAGCCTCACCTCCTTCACTGGCCAGGCAGGGGCCAGAGCTCCCCCGAGGCTATTCCCTTCTTCCTGACTGATCTCATGTGTCTATAATCTAAAGGTGGTGGATACATTTCAGCCTCATATGCCTGCTAATTGTCTCTTCCCTTCAGAGGCAGTTGCTACAGCTCAGTGTGGCTCAGCCCACCCAGGGACAGATGAGCAGTGATGTCTGTGTCCACTCCTGGCCTTGCTCCTACTACTTGGATCTTGAGAAGCGATGGATTCCTGGGAAACTAACCTTGACCCCTCGCTCACTGAAGTTCACTGCAGATAGAACTGAAGAGGTCCTTGTCAGCCTGCCCCTCTCCAGCATCACTGAGATCAGAAAAGAAGCTTCTCATTTTATTTTCAGTGCTATCACGGTCCTGGAGAAGGGCCATGCCAAGCACTGGTTCAGCTCACTGAGGCCCAGTCGCAATGTGGTCTTCAACATCATTGAGCACTTCTGGAGGGAGTTGCTACTGTCTCAACCAGGCATTGCTGCCAACACAGCCTTCCCCAAGACCAGGGGACAGGAGCTGACGGGACTGATGGCCACTTCCCAGAGGCGCATGGAAAATACAGCGAAGGTCCTTCACCATCAGGGCGAGCAGCTGGACAATGTCATGAGGGGTCTGGAAAAGATGGAGTCAGATCTAGATGTGGCCGACAGGTGGGCAAATCCCAAGGTCTGCTCTGCTTTACCAGAGGGTAGAATGTCCTCTGAATAGTCTCATGTTTAGCAGACTTCCAGAATTCAGAGGCTTTGTACCACTCTGTGCACTGTGCAGGGCCCATAGAAGAGATCCACTGGTATGGATAGGGGCTGTCTGTTGTCTGAAATCTGCTGGTTCACAGAGAGCAGGAAGGCAAGTGATGGGCTATAAGTGAGGCATCCTTATAGCCTGGGGTGTGCCTGGTTTCTTTGTGATGCTCAGTTTTGTCCAAGACTCTAAGGCCACAGGTATAGTCTGTGTCCCTTTCTGGTAATAATGTGTTTTAATGGGGACAAATGAGGTTTTTGTATGGACTTTCAAATGTGATTTGTGACAGCCCTCCTTGTGCTCAGTGAGTTTGTCCTTCAGAACAGGGATTTTTCTCATATTATTTCTTTGGAAATTTTTTCGTGTCACTTAAAAAAATGTGGAGGCCCGTGTTTGTGTACTTGTCATCTTTTACTGGTTTTTCTTGTGTTTCCTCTTCTTTGCTCTATGCTTCTTTACTATCATTTATATTTCTTGAATTTCTCTTTTCTGTTGTATTTTACTTTCTAAGAATTATTTTTGTTTTGCGTACATTGTTTGGCTCCTACCTGATACTGCTTCCTGTCTGTCTTCTCTCATCTCAACATTTCGATGGCTCTTTTCTTTTGCTTTGTGTTACTCCTAGTTGACTGTCTTTGTAATTTTTTATTCTCTGTCTTCAATTTGAAGCATTCCTTGTCCCAAGGTCCCTGTGTAGGGGGTTCCAGGGGTTGGGCATTGATAGAACAAACCCCAGGTCTTGAGTTGATGCTTCCCACCTGTAGCATGAACCCTACAGGACTTGCCCTAGTTTAGTGTAGAGGGTCCAACTCTCTTCTCTCCACCTGCCCCTGCTGAACAATGTTCCCTCCAAGTACCCAGGTGGAGTATAGGATCTTAGTGTCCTCCTCCAGGCCAGCCTGCTCTATCACTGGCCCTACTTCACCCTTGCTTTTAGAGGCTGCTGGTACCCCTTTCCTGTACCTAGATTTTCAAGCTTCCCCCACCACTGATGTGCAGTTCCCTTCCTTGGATCTGCCTGTTTAGCTGGCTTCCTGGTTTCCACATCTTGTGGTTGTTATCTCTCCCTCTCCTTGGGAAAGTTGTGTTCAGCTTGTAGTCCTGAGGGGACTGGAGAGATGGTTCAGTAGTTAAGAGCACTGGCTGTTCTTGCAGAGGACCTGGGTTCGGTTGCCAGCATTCACATGATGACTAACAACTATCTGTAATTACAGTTCCAGGGGATCCAATGCCCTCTTCTGGCCTCCCATTTATGCATGTGGTACATTGACATATATGCAGGTGAGGCACTCATGCACATTAAATAAAAATAAATTAAATAAAAAATAAATAAAAAAAAATAAAAATAAAAATAAATGTTCTAGGCCAATGAAGCTACATGGCAATGCTGCCTCAAAAATATAAATAAATAAATAGAAAAAAAATTAAATTTGTTTTAGAAAGTATCTTTTTGATTTTTGCAATTACAGTTCCCTTATCTACAGTTTTGCTTTTCTATTTCCATTGTCCACTGTCAGATTTCCTCTGAAAATACTAGATAAAAAACTGGACCTCTTTGATAAACTGTAGCCTGTATACTGTTCTGAGTAGCCTAATGAGATCTTAAGGCATGGTCCATGCTTCCCAAGATGTGGGTCACCTTTGTCCAGCCTGTCCGCACTGCCTACTACCCACATTGATCACAAGCAGCCACCCTGGTTATCAGACTACCTGTCAGGTATCAGTACTGTTTTCAAGTACCCCCTGTTTTACTTTATAATGGTCCCAGCATGTAAGAGTAGTGGTGCTCACCATTTGGATATGCCAAGAAGCTGCAGAGTGCATCCTTTAACTGAAAGAATGAAATGCAGGAAGATGTTTTAAGAAGGAGACAACTCACGTTAATTCCTATTACAATGCAATAGCAACATGTGGGACCTGTAAGTAATAGTATTGTAAACGTGTGTATATTAGAAACACAAGCTTACTCCTCTTGGTTTCAGGTGTCCTGCGGGTATGGGAACTTGTGTTCTCTGTGGATGAGGGGCCATGTATGTAAATGGCAGTCACTGCTTCCTAACCACTGTGCCAACAGAATGCCCAAACTCTCTCAGTAAGCTACTAGGTGTGACAGCCTTTGCCACAGTCCATACCTACTCAGAGTTGGCATGTTAATGAACTGAAATCATATCTTCCTCTCTTACCAAGCTAAAGAGCTTTTTTTAGTCAGACAGTGTCATGGAGGCAGGCACACACCAGACTTGTTATAGGACCAGAGACAACAGAGTCTGAAGACTGCATGTCCCCACCATCTTAATTAGAAAGAGCTTTGCTGCATCTGGGGGCATGTGCTGCTGTGGACCTTCTGCTGCAGGAGGTCAGTCTTTGCTAACTGTGATCACATGAAGCCCACTGTGCCGTGGAGCCTTGTCTGCTTTTCTCAAGGTCCACCAATTTAAGAGTTAATGTCACCCAAAACACTCCTCAGAAACCTCCAGGATCAACTGTCTTTGCAGTACAAACCAGCCAGGTGGCCACATAGCAATGACCATGATATCCACCTGCCTCACTCAGGTTTATGTGTTGGTGACCTTGAAAACTCAGTCCAGATGATCCAGAGCCCCCTAGTCACAAGGTCCTGTCTACCCCAACTGTAAGGTGTGCTGTAGGAGCTTCTGCAAGGCAAGCAAGAAGGACCCAGTCCTCAGGGCTCTGCCTGGCCAGTAGCACAACTCACAACTGCTCAGAGCATCTTTGTTCCAAGAAGAGGCTACTGAAGAAGGAGGCAGTTCTGCCCTCTCTGGCCTTAGATCATTTTGGTCTTCAGGATGAAGTATGATAAGATGTGGAGAGTGACTGTTATCCTTTCCAGGAACAGAGATTTACACATGGCCTTCTCTTCAGGCTGGCCATGTCATACTTGTATGTTTTATTGTATCAGGTTTAGAGTTAGGTAACTTTTTTTGTCTTTTTGAAGCAGGATCTCCCTGTAGCCCCAGCTGTCCTGGAACTCACCATGTAGACCAGGCTGACCTTGAACTCACAGAGATCTGCCTGCCTCTGCCTCCCGAGTGCTGGGATTAAAGGTGTGTGCCACCACGCCTGGTGAGTCAGGTGACTTTAAAAAAATCTTATTAATTATTTTTACTTTATATGTATGAGTATATTGCCTGCATGTGTGTGAGTGCACCTGTGTGGAGGTCAGAAGAGGGCGTCGGATTCCTCTGGAGTTAAGGACGATTCGTAGCCGCCATGTGGGTGCTGGGAATCAAACCTGGATCCTCTGCAAGAGCAGTCAGTGCTCTTAACTGCTGAGCCATCTCTCCAGCCCCGACTTTTAACTTATGTAGAAATGTCTCATGTCTCTCATTTCCATTCCTGGTATCGGTAATTTACATTTTCTGTTTTGTTTCCTTAATTACTTCTTGTTAGCAATTATTTTTTATTTTTTAATATTTTATTTATTATTTTTACTTTATGTGTATGAGTGTATTGCCTGCATGTATGTAAGTGCACCCGTGTCCTGCAATGCCTGTGGAGATTAGAGAGGATGTCGGATCCCCCAGAACTGGAGTTATGGACAGTTGTTAGCCTCCATGTAGGTGCTAGGAATTGAACCTGGGTCATCTGCAAGAGCAGCCAGTGCTCTTAACCACTGAGCCATCTTTCCAGACCCAGCATTTTTTTTTTTTGGTCTTTTTTTTGAGATAGGGTTTCACTGTAGCCCCAGTTGTCCTGGAACTCACTAGGTAGACCAGGCTGGCCTTGAACTCACAGAGATCCGCCTGCCTCTGCCTCCCAAGTGCTGAGATTAAAGGTACGCACCACCACGCCCGGCCAACCAGCAATTTATTTTTTAAAATCACATCAAACAACAGACTTTTGGCTTTCCTAGTGTTTCATATTTTTATTTATTTTGCATTTATTTATTTTGTGTGCATGTGTGTGGGCACACATGTGACATGGTTTGCATATACAAATGAGAAGACAACTGTAGTCAGTTCTTTCCTTCCATCATGTGGGTTTCAGGTATCGAACTTCGGTCATCAGATTTGTTGGCAAGTGCCTTTACCTGCTGAGCCATCTCACCTGCCTATTTTCATGTTCTTTCTGTTTCCAATTATATTGATTTCTGTATTTCAGTTTTTCTACTTTGAGCACATTTTGTTCTTCATTTTAAAACAGCTTGAAGTAGAAGCGTAGATTACTGACTTATTTAACCTTTCTAATGGGTTCTCATGTACACGCTGAAAACTCACTTTCTCTAATGGCATCTTGTTTGCTTCTTGTGTGTGTGTCATATTTTCTTTGTCATTCTCTTAAATGGTTTCTGATTCCCTTTTTGCACTTTCAGATTCATGTATCCCTTAAATATGCATTTAATTTCCAGATGTTTTAGATTTGTGTTTGTCTATCACTCATTTCTTTTTTATAGACAGAGTACCTTTGAGATTTGCTGCCTGCTCTGCTGTTCAGATTTCTGCATACAGTTGAATAGTGTACATTCAGCAGATGTACCAAGATGATGTACTGTTAGATGATGTACTGAGATGATGTAGCTTCTGTCAGTCTGGGCTGACAAAATACTGTTCAAAATTTCTAAATTCTACTAATTTTTTGTCTTCTATTAGTCATTGAAAGAAATATGTTAATGGCTGCAGCCGTGATTGTCTATTTTTTTAACTTTTGTCCGGTTTTTGCTTAATGAATTTTGAAGCTGTGTTATTTTGTGTATACTTGTTTAGTATTAAGTCTTCCTATTGAATAAATCTCTTCTTACAATACATTGCCCCTGGGAGTGCTCATGTACTATTAGCCACATGTTTGATATATGTATTCCAATCCTTTTTTTCTGTATATCTGTTTTCTCATGTTTTGCAGTGTTTTTTGTGAATAGGATATAAGCTGTCTCTTGTTTCAACCTGACAATGTGTCTTTTAACTTAGTTCATTTGCATTTAGTACGAATGCTTACATGGTTCAGTTTAGTTTGTTTAATTTTGCCATGTGTTTGTTTCCTGTTTGTTCCTTTTGACCTTTGCTTTCCTTTCATATCTCCATTTTTCTTGTCTGTTGATGCTTTAGGTGTATTTCTTGGTGTTGCAGTTGTGCTGTCCAATCTCGTAGGCACTGGCTATAGTAAACTTGGATTATATTGGGCTGGAAAGTGGCTTAGTGGAGAGCTCTTGCCTCATATGAGGCCCTGGATCTGATTCCTGAACTCTACAAAAAAAAAAATAGTAAATTAAGAATTGAGTTTCTTAGTCGTACTGGCTATGCTTAAAGTGCTTGATAGCTACATCTGCCTCCTGCTGATTTGGACAGTGAGTGCCAACATAGAACATTTACACACTGCAGCAAGTTTTAGTAGACAGCTCTGTTGGCATTGGTGGATTGATGAATTGGCAGATGAATTTTGAGTCAAAGGCATAGTTTGGAAAGAGCAACATGAGTCAGATGTGTGTATCTGCAGTGTCTTTGGTTAGCTGGATCCCTAAGCCTCCATGCCCCCACCCCACCCCCTGCACTTGGTGGGAAAAATTGACTATAAAATGGTAACATACTCTACAGAGGTTAACCCAGTCTTCTGAGTAGCACAAACATTACTCTTTAAAACTGACTGTCTTGGGTTTCTGTTTTCTTTGTTTTTAGATTGCTGACAGAACTAGAGACTCCTTCCTGGTGGCCTTTCAGCTCTAAGCTGTGGAAAACACCAGCAGAAGCAAAGCCCAAGGACGGTGTCTCTGTAGCCACTTGTGAGCCTTTTGGGAAAGAAGGGGTCATCATCAAGGTTCCTGCTGTTGTTTCCCAGAGAACAGAGTCTCATTCCAAGTCAGGAAAGCTCACTGTCCTGGTTTCCGGTTTGGAAATCCACGACTCTGATTCTTTGCTCCTGCACAGGTTTGAGAGGGAAGATGTAGATGACATTAAAGTTCACTCTCCTTATGAGGTCAGCATACGCCAGCGATTCATTGGGAGGCCAGATGTGGCTTATCGAGTGATATCTGCCAAGATGCCAGAGGTCATTCCCATTTTAGAAGTGCAGTTCAGCAAGAAGATTGAGCTGCTGGAAGATGCTTTAGTGCTCAGGAACAGGGCCGGGGCTTCTGCTGCTGAGAAGAACTCCTCTGTCTGGCATGCAGGTAAGTGGCCAGCAGGGCAGTGTGTACACCATCTTCCAAAATTAGGGCCTCCATCAGCACACCAAGGTGTGTTCAGCATGTGCCTTGCTCAGCAGCTGCTGGCTCCAGCTCACAGGCAGCCTTTGAACAGTCCTTCTAGATGGCCATCTTTTGCACGTGCCCTTGGATAGATACCTGCACTTCAGAGGAGGGCAGTGCTGGAGCTTGGATCTCAAGGCCTCCCAAAGGCTTGCTTTTCAGGGTGACACTGTTGGGAAATGATGGCCCTTTAGAAGGAAGGGCCTCATTGAGGACCTTAGGTCTTTGGAGGTGTGCCCCCCCTTCCTGCGTGCTAGTGATACAATGAGCAGGATTGGGTTTTTTTGTTTTGTTTTTTTCAGAGCTGAGGACCAAACCCAGGGCCTAGCACTTGCTAGGCAAGCGCTCTACTACTGAGCTAAATCCCCAACCCCTAGAAGTATTGTTTTTAATTTTAAACTTTTATTTATATGCTTGCTTGTTTGTGTACCACATATGTTCACATGCCTGTGGTGTTGGAGCCATGGAACTGGAGTTACAGGCAGTTGTGAGCTGCTTGGTATGGGTGCTGGGAATTGAACTTGGGTCTCTGCCAAGATCAGCCAGTGCTCTTAACTGCTGAGCCATCTCTCCAGTTCCCAGTGAGCAGCTTTGCTTCTCCATGTGTGTTCCTGTTATGATGTCCTGCCTCATCACAGGCCCAAAACATTAGGCCATTTGACCTTGAACTGGAACCTTCTAGAACCATGATCCAGTTTTAACCTTTTCTCTTGATAAATTGATTGCCTTAGGTATTAAGTGCCTTAGTGATAGAATGCTAATATAGTCAGAAGGTATTATAAGCCCATTTTGTGTTCTTGTAATAAAATACTCAATGCTGGGTATTTTATAAAGAAAAGAGAATTATTTAGCTTACCATTCTGAAATTAAAAAAATTTTTTTGATTTATCTTTATGTGTATGACTGTTTTGCCTGCATGTATATGAGTACACCCATGTCATGAAAAGACCACAGAGGCCAGAAGAGGGCATCAGATCCCCTGAAACTCAGTTACAGATGGTTGTTAGCTGCAATGTGCTGGGAATCAAGCCCTGGTCCTCTGGAAGAGAAGCCAGTGGTATTAACCTCTAAGCCATCTCTCTAGCCCCTATTCTGAAAATTTAAAGCCCAGGATTGGGCAACTCCTCTGTTTGGCCTCTGGTGAGGGTCTCTTGGCAGGTTCCAGATAATGGTGAAGGCCCATGACAAGACAGGAAGGGAGGGAGATTCAGGGGCCAGGCTTGCTCCTTTAAAATTATCTCTCTCAGAAACTAACTAGAATCACACAATCCCTCCTGAGGACAGCATCCCAGAGACCTGATGACCTCTTACTAGGCTCCACCTCTTAAAGGTCCCACCACCACCAACACTGGGGATCCAGCACCTAGCTTGTGAGCCCTTGGAGACATACTCAGACTACATCTGTACAATAGCAAAAGGTTTGGAGTGAGTCAGAACTGAAGGAAGTTGAGTTCACACCCATTGCCTCTTCTCAGCCCGAGTCAAGAACTGGCACTCTCAAATCTATCCTGGCCTCACCCCCACCCCTCTTCCCCTTCAGCCCAGTATCTCTTGGCATTGAGTTGGGTCTTCCCAGCCGCTATCTAGATGTGCATTTGGGGGTCTTGGGATCCTTGAGCTCTTGGAATACAGTGCTGTGAATTTCATTTTCAAGTGCTGTGCAGTGGGCCATGTGGAGCAGCAGGACCTAACACCAAGGTCCACGGTAGAGGAAAAATGTGGACACTGCTTGCACATTCACCATAGTGTTCAACCTCTTTGGTGTTGAACTGGTTACTTTCTATTGGTGTAATAAAAAAAAAAAAACACTGATCAAAATCGGCTTGGGGAGGAAAGGGTTTATTTTATCTTACATTTCCCAGGTGACAATTTATCACTGAGAAAAGTCAGAGCAGGAACCTGGAGGCAGGAGCTGAAGCATAGACCATGGAGGAATGCTTTTTACTGGCTTGCTCCCTTGGCCTGTGCTTAGCCTGCTTTCTTTTGTTTTGTTTTGTTTTTTTTTGTTTGTTTGTTTGTTTTTTGTCTTTTTTTGAGACAGGGTCTTCCTATAGCTCCTGCTGTCCTGGAACTCACTATGTAGACCAGGCTGGCCTCGAACTCATAGAGCTCCACCTGCCTCTGCCTCCCAAGTGCTGGGACTACAGGCATGTGCCGCCACACCTGGCTTAGCCTGCTTTCTTTTTTTAAATATTTTATTTATTAGTTTATGTGTATGAGTGTATTTCCTGCATGTATATGAGTGCACCCATGTTGTGCAATGCCGCAGAGGCCAGAAGAGAGCTTCAGATTCCCCTGGAACTGGAGTTAAGGACGGTTCATAGCCACAGTGTGGGTGATGGGAATCGAACTCAGGTCCTCTGCAAGAGCAGTCAGTGCTCTTAACCGCTGAGCCATCTCTGCAGCCCCTCTTAGCTTACTTTCTTAAATAACCCAGGACTACTTGTCCAGGGGTGGCACTGCCCAGAGTGGGTTGGGCCCTCCCGCATAGCTCAACAATCAAGAAAATACTCCATAGACGTGGCTGCAGGCCAATCCAATGGCAGTAATTCCTCAACTGAAGTTATTCCCAGGTTATTCCCTTTACCCAGGGGATGTCAACATTGACAACTGAAACTGTCCAGCACATTGGGTAAGAATTAGGGAAGGTGTTTCAGAGCAAGTTGAGGACAAAGATGTAACAGAGGAGATGCTACAGCATAGAACAGGACTTCTATCAGCATGAGATAACAAGCTGCCATGCTCAGCTCTTTTAAGGAAGGAAGGTGCACAGGACTCAGAGTATCCAGCAAGACACAAGGCTGAGAAGCAAGAAGTGTGGGTCTCCATTAGTAGAGGCAGGACTGAGTACAGAGGTGGTGTGTGTGTGTGTGTGTGTGTGCCTCCTCAGGGAGGAGGCATGTGACATCCTAGGGACAAAGCAGCTATCAGTGGAGGGACCAAGGAGCTGACACTAGCCTATAGGAAGGTAACCTCCTGAAGTTTCTGGGGTTTTAATGACTTTACTGGATAGGTGGATTCCATAACTTGTGTAGCCAGAGGTTCATTATAAGATAGGCACCCATCCTGTGGGTATTGTCTAGTTGGAGTTTGGTAAGTCCCAGGTGTGGAAAGCCATAGGTGTGCTTCCCAATCCCACTTGATCAGAGTAGCTTCCCAGCAGATACAGGCCAACTTCCCTTATTATGGATGTTGGCCTGAGGGATGTCTTTATAATAACTCTCTTAGCAACAGCATGTTGGGATTTGATTAGGTTGCTGGGAACCTGTTCTTTGCAAGGGGCATAGGAAGGTGGCTGTCACAGGGACCCTTGTATGGAATGAGTGGAGCACCTGGAGTGTGACATCTGTGTTGTTTGTGCCTCCTGGGAACTCTCTGGAGTGTCTTAGTGCACTCATGGGAAGTGCTGTCCTCATTTCTAGCGGATGGGTACGCCTCACAGCTGGCCAGGTCTGTGCAGGAAATTCATATGTGCTGAGGCATAGTGGGGAAGATGGCCTTCAAATGGGTGGGAACTCAGTGGCCACAGCTTGGTGGGAGGGTTGGCACCTTGGCCCTTACCTTCATGTGTTGCAGTGCATAGCCAACATCTGTCTTACTGCTGGGAGGTGGAAACTGTGGAGGCAGTGCAAGGTGGAAGCCTTGACTGAGGCCCCAGGACCCAGCCTCTCCTGGAGGTGTGCAGTGTGCATGTGGCCACATGGGGGCAGCCTCGCAGCATGGCCAGCTGCTGCTGGGAGTTTCTTTTAGCAGGGGGAAACTCTCCAGAGACTTACTGTAGTGAATGCTTCCTGCAGACCCCAGAAGTGGCCTGGGCCTAGGCCTAGAGAGGAGGAAAATGGGCTGTGTTGCTTCAGCCAAACTTCTCTTGATTGCTGTTTCCCTTCATAGCATCCTTAAAGACTTCGTGAGCTTAGAATAGTTTCAAAATTGCAGGAATGAAGGTCTGAAAAATAGTTGAGGTTATTTATCCCTTATCTGATATGCTTGTGGTAACAGGTATCTCAGACTCTGAGTTATGGAATATTTATATATAGGTAGTGAAATCTCTGGGGGATGGGGCCCAAGTCTGCACATGAAGTTCACCACTGTTTCATATCTGCCATAGGCACAAAGTCTGAGGGGATTTTATACATTATTTTCAACGATTTTGTGCACGAACAGTTCCAGAGTATCTTGGGGTTTGCAGCAGCATATGGACTCTTGAGTTTTAGGGTTAGAGCAGTGTTGCCTCCATCCGCACTTATACTCTGTCATCACCACCTGTTGTTAGTGTGCCTCCTCATCATATCCAGGGAGCATCCATACAAGCTACCTAGTCTCTCACCTCACCTCATCTCCACCTGGCCTTTTCTTTCCGCAGGGTTCCAGGGCTCCCTGACTCTAACAATGCCCTGGAAAGCTTGTAGGAGGACTAATGGGCAGAGTACCCTGCTGGGTCCCATGTCATATGCTTTCATGGTTTATTTGGGATAGCCATCAGTAGTAAGGCATCCTTTCACATCTTGTGGCTAAAACATGCATGGCATGTCTGTGGGCCATTTGTTTGATAACTGCCTTTGCTGCTTGCTGTTGTCCCCTGTGTAGAAGGTCCTCCTACAGCTGGGACCAAGGAGCCCCCAGTCACCTGCTTGCTGAACAATGCTCAGCACTCATGCCTGAAGCTACTCACTGTGTCCCAGGACCAGACAGCACAAAGTACAAGTGAGGACAGATGACTGCATCTGAGCCACTTCCTCTAGGCTATCTTTTGCGGCAGAGGACTCTGGCTTGGGCTGAGGAATGAAGAAGCCCTTTAGGGTCCCAGGAGGTAGGCACTCCAGGATGAGGTCCTCAAGTATGTAAGCCCTGTGCCTGCATGGCCAGGCTCTCAGGAGGGAGCCCCAGAACAGGGACCCCGGGGACACAGGTGCAGTACTGAGATGTAGCAGAGCTCTGAAGGGTCCCCAGAGACACAGGTACCACAGGTATCACAGAGCTCTCTGGGACCAAGGGCAAGGTCTGTGGGGATGCAGACATGGGTGGTACTTTGAATGATGAAGCTCTTGGGGTCCAAAGGCAGGGTCCTTGGGGTTGCACTGTACTGATTTGGGGTGGCCAGGAGCCTGGTTAGGGGGAGCAGCTTGGCCCTCAAACACCTGTGCCCTCTCGTGTCCTCCGTGTCAGAATGTTCCATGTACTACTTCATCACTGTGGAAGTGTAGATGTCTGTGGAGACACAGATGTTACCATCTCCTTCTGTTTCCCCTTCTTCGTTCTGTCTTGCCTGTGTGAATAAATGTGCATTTTGCTTTCTGACCTATGTACCAGTTTCCCAAGCTTCACATAGTTGGAGGCCCCTACTAGAGATGCTTTCCAAGTGCAGATGAGGCATGTGAGGCTAGGTTGCAGGAGAGAGATCTGCCCAGGACAGGCTTGAAGCCTTTGCTTTGAGCTGTATGTCTTCTGTGGAGGGGAGGCCCTCAGGCTGTACAGAGGGCTCTTATGGTGGCCAGTGTCTGTCTCTTCTGCCAGCTGACCTCCCCTAGGGCCATCTCATGCCTCCTTCCTCCTGCAGTCTCATTCCCTCACCACAGGAGCCATTCTTGCTGCTTTTATTAAACAGATCATTAATGACCGAAGAGACAGAAACCATCCTGCCCAGAGCCACAGTAATTCATCTCAGATGTTTCACAACATGGAGCGACGAGTCAGCAACCAGCCCTGGAGGTGGCATAGTCCTGTGGCTTAGATGGGTCCCAGCTAATCCCACAGCTTGTGGAAAACATCCCTGACTCCATGTGTCTGTGGTAATTAGTAACATCCCATTAGAAGAGTCTTTCTTCAGCTTTCTGCTTGTTGAAGCAAAGTCCCAGTTGTTGAAATTCAGTCAATTTGGACCTATCCTGTAGCTTCAGTTAGTCGGGATCTGCCCTTTAGTGTTAGTTGGGATGTGTTCTCTGGTCTCAGTCAGGGTCTGTCCTGTAGCTTCAGTCAGTTGGGAACACTTCCATAGCTTCAGGTATGGCAGCCACAGTCAGCAGCACTGGAGCTCTGCTTCCTGAGCCCATGCTGCAATTAAGAGTCCCAAGAGACTCTGGGGACGGTCTTAGCAGCGCAGGAGCACTGAGACTGTGTGCAATATGAATATCACAGACTGTATACAGCTAATTACAGACCAGGCTGAAAGGATCACTGTATCCCAGGCTCCTAAGCAAGTCTGCATAGGGCAGAGGGCACCATCATATAGACAGTGTGGTCCTTTGGGTCCATGGACAGTATCCCTTGCTCTCTCACCCACCCAAAAGAGCCTTCTTCATACTGGAGCTCTCACTCCAGGTCTACACACCACCATCTCCTCAGACTAATGGCTGGTGGGCCAGGCCTTTCTGCCTGTCCTTCAAACCCAGTTACCTGTGTCCTTTTGCTGGCCACTATACCAGCAAAGAACTCCCATGAACAGAAGAGTTCAGTAATGAGAGCCCTGAGAAATGGTAGCTGGGATGGCCGTCAGCTGTGGTGGGAGGGGATAAAAGAGAGCTACCACCACCACCACATTAGCACCTTGCAGACATAAACACAGGTTGTAAAATCAGTTTGGCTTCTTGCAATCAGATTTATTTTGTTCGTTTGGATTGAAGTAGGGAAGTGACCATCCCAGTGAGGGGTCCTAACACTACTGTTTAGTAGACTGGGTTCACATACTAATGTGTGCAGGGTGTATGTGAGGTGAAGGGGTGTCCCCCAAGGCACTCCTATGTTTATCTACCTGGTCCTACAGACCTGTCCTTACCCTGCCTGCCTTCCTCCGGTGAGTATGACTAGTTCTTAGCTACTTCTGCCACTCTTAGGGTAGGTTTCCTTGTAAGGACTGTTGGAAGGGATAGAGAGTGGCGATTTTGCACCTGGTCTCTTTCTAGGAAGGACAGTCATGTGTTGGGATCTTTTTGGTTCCTGTCCCAGGGCCCAGTGAGAGCTTCCTCAGGATGCTTCCTTTCCAGTCCTTCTCTGATATGTAGCTATGGCCTTCAGGCCGTTGTTCCTCAGTCTAGCTGAGGTAGTGTGGAGGCCACTGGAGGGGCTACTTGTCAAACCTGGTATTCTTTCTCTTTCTTCCCAGCCTAGTAAATGTACTCGACTGCTGCCCCACATCTAGGATGGCCTACATTGTGGGGAAAAGTGAGGATCAGACTTCAATTGCAGTCCTTATCTGGGTCGTGAAATGCTGGGGTTGTGGTTGGAGTTGTCCTCTAAATGAAGAACAGGTGGCACCCTGCAGCATCCACCAGGAGCCATGCTGCACCGTTAAGGCCAGCTGCCTATCTTGGGTGCAGAGAGTATCCAGCATGCAGGTGTGTGTTGGTCTGTAAGAGCTGCAGGGCTGCCCCATTGATCTGAGCCCCGCCTGACCACAGGGAGGGCAGCTCTGAGTCACCCAGATGGCGGCAGGCTCCTACATGAAGCTCAGCTTGGCTCCAAAAGCTGGCCATTTCCTGTGCTCTCTGGAACCACAGTGTTCTGTGGAATAGCTCAACTATCCCCACATTTCCTGGTGATGTGTTATATGTATATTTCACCTGGGTTCAATGGTTCTTCTGTTTTATATGCCAATCTTAAAAAAATTAAGCATTTTATTTTAGGAGATAGTTACAGAATTAGCCCTGCATTTGTATTGTTTTGCAAACTCCAATGGAGGAGAGGCTAGATGGGGCCTTGAGGTGGGGCATTCAGCTCTGCAGAGGCATAGGCACCAAATAGACTCATATGGACACTTAGATATACACCCTTCCCTGTGGCAGTCTTAAATGCCCCTCTGTGAGATTCTGAATGCTTGTGTGTGGTTTGCACCTTCCAGAAGTTTTCACCACTGACCTCAGCTTTCTGTTCCAGCATCCGGACTGATCGGCTGCACCACACACCACGAGCTGCCCACTGGAGGCCAGGAGGGCGGGCTGCTGCAGCTGCAGAAGAGCTGGCCATTACTCTCTGAGGGGGAAGCCCAGGAGCTGACACAGGTAAAGGGTCCCCACTCCCACAATGGGCCAGTTTGGCATCCTTGTTCTCTCAACCCGAGTCTCATCTCTCTCCTGCCTGAAGATAGGCCTCTTTTGGATTGTGCAAGGGCTGCTTAAGTCTCAGGGTTTGCTGTACTTCCTATAGTTGGAGAAAGACAGGAGGGGAGCTGCCCATCTCAGGTCCCTAGTTTCATGGCATGCAGACCCATAGCATGCTCACCCAATTTCCCTGGTGGCCACTTCTACCTTTGAATCTGTGTTATGCATGTGTGTGGACTCTGTGTATGTACACTGTGTATATGCTGTACCTGTGCTGTACCCTATATGTATGCTGTATCTACCTGTGTGTGCTCTGCAGCATTCATGTGCTCTATGTATGTATGTTGTGTGTGCTTGGTGCACATGTGGGTGCTACACGTGAGCATGTTCTCTGCTCTGCAGATGTGCATGTACAGTTGAGGGACCAAACCTGGGTCCTCTGCAAGAGCCTCTGCTGAGCCACCTCTCCAACCCCTCTACTACGTTCTTAAAGAAGCTTAACACTTTTCCTTAGGATATTGAAATTTAAGTATTCCATGTAAATACTTTTAACTTACATACCTATAGTTTTGCTGGATAGTGCAGTTGCTTTTTCTACTGGTTTTTAAAAATATTTATTATCTTTTAAATTTAAATATTTTATTATTTTTATTTTATGTGTATGTGTGTATTGCCTGCATGTAGGTAAGTGCACCCGTGTCACACAATGCCCACGGAAGACAGAAGAGGCTGTCGGATCCCCTAGAACTGGAGTTATGGACAGTTGTTAGCTGCCATGTGGGTGCTAGGATTCGAACCCAGGTCTTCTGCAAGAACAGTGTTCTTAACTGCTGAGTTGTCTCTCCAGCCCCTTATTTATTATTTTTATCTGTATGAGTGTATTGCCTACATGTATATAAGTGCACCTGTGTTGTGCATTGCCCATGGAGGTCAGAAGAGGGCATAGGATCTCCTGAAACTGGAGTTAGGGATGGTTGTTACCCACCATATGAGTGCTGGGAACCAAACCTGGGTCCTCTGCAAGAGCCTCTGCTGAGCCACGTCTCCAACCCCTCTACTAGTTTTTGAAGTAGCACCTTACCAGCAAGTCATTTCACCTATAGATATTTCAGTATATACCCTTAAAAGCTAAGGACACTTGAAAGGTATAATGGCTCACCTCTGTAATCCCAGTACTCAGAAGGCTGAGACAAGAGGACTGCCAGGAGTTCAAGGCTGGCTGAGGCTATATATAGAGAGATGCTGTCTCATAAACCAAACCAAAACAATAACAGAAACAAGCAGCACCCAGAAAAGCTGTTCATGTCAGGAGAATGAGGATGAAGCAATAGGATCATGGATTCAAGCCTAACCTGGCCTGCATAGTACAAGCCTATCTCAAAGTAAAGAAATGTAAAAAATTTTTTTAAAAAGCTATTAAAAAAAGTAAGCATAATCCTAATTTTACCTAAAAAATTAAGTGATTAAAATACTAAGTAAGAGCTTGGACTGCCCGAGACCTCCTGTGGGCATGTCTAATCTCTAGGGCCTGTAGCCACACTAAGGGACTGTCCCTGGGAATTGCAGTTGATACAGACTTTCAGCTTTGGGGAACATGGCTCAGGTAGAGCACTGTCCACTCCCATTGGGCAGTGCAGTGGATATGAACAGTCATTCCGTTAAACCTGTTTTTAAAAATGAGTTCTCAGATTTTTGTCCACATAGGCACAGACTTCTTTTGACCTTAGCAATTTCCTCTTTGGGGAAAACAAAAAAAAGCATTCATCTTTTCTACGGGATATTTTAAACATATTTGTCATCCCTTTTTCCTTGTAGTCTGGTGGTTGTTTTTAAGCATGGCACAGGCACACTGCTAGCTGTGACCAGCACCTTCTGCAGGTCACTAATCACATTGACTATGGGACCTCCCGGGTGTGGTCATACTTTTGTGGGGTTTTGAGAAAGCCTAGTGCATCAAGGCCCAAAAATCTGGGATTTCCCTGAGTACCCTCCTGACAGCCTGAACCAGAGTACATGGGCCTTGAGATGGTGGGTCTGAGGGCACCCCATGCCTACCTCTACAAGAATGTCTGCATCCCACAGTTGTGTTTATGTGGGAACTTTACTTGTTAATTGCAATAATGGTCATGTAGTCTGAGAAGCCCTTCCTGTTTCTGAACATCTACTCTACCAGCCCTACCCTAAAGTTGGGGACAAGATGGAATGATGTCAAAATGAACACATCCCAAGCCCAAAATGGGATAGGACATGGCTGTCTGCACCAGTGTCCAGGATAGTCCACACTGGCAACACTGGGTACCATGTGTAGGGGCCTTGGTGTTGTAATAGGGGCTATGACACTAGACAGGGCCCTAGGAAAGCTACTAGGGCACAGAAGAAGACAGGCAGAGACTGCCTCCTGGTCAGAAGTAGCAGCCTAGCATCACATGAGATAGTCTTTTTGAGGTAAAACACATGTTTCATATTTAGAGAATTCCTAGCTGTACAGTTGAAGCTCAAGCATAAGTAGGAATGAGTTAAATTCGGGGGAAAACAAAAATGCAAGAAATCCTCCTCCATCCAGCTGTGGTTTGGGTTGCAGAAGCTATTAAAGCTATTATGTTGAGATGTGTCTTGGTGATTTAAATTGCAGTTGGGATGTTAGCGGGGAGGTGGCCAGGATTGTACCAGGATGGGAGTAGGCTGAGTGGGTGTGCGGTCTGTGGCCACCATCTGCCACGTCACTGTGCCTGGGGGAGGAAGAACCCAGGAGGCCACAAGGAAGCACATCCCCTAGATTTGGCAGAGCTTCTTGACTGGTAACTGGTAGTGTCTGCTCTTCCTCAAAACTGTGGCTACATTTGGTTCATGGGATCCTCAGAGTCACACTTATTGGTGAAGGGTTTGCAGATGATAAAACAGTACTGTCCCAAAGCAGGACATACTGGGTATATGTGGGGTTTCTTCCTGTCTCTCTTTCTGTGTCCTGACCTGTTGGGAGGTTGTTCATCCCATGTTGCCTTTCACTGGGAGGGAACTGGTAGAAATCAAGCTGGTCAGATCTGGTGGGTTGTAGACAGGAGGACACAGCTGGCCCTAACAACAGGCTATGGTGGAGAAAGGAGATTCCTGTGTGTGACATCCAGTGTTGTGTTGGGAAGAGTGTGGAGTGGCTTCTCATACTGGGCAGCTGAGGCCCACAAAGCATGCTGGTTTTGCGGACTTGATGTTTCCATCTTTGGAATCTCCCCTATGCTCCAGTTCTACAATGCATCTATACCTGCCCTGATAGTTAACTGGAGCTTTCTGGAAATAATTTTGTGGCTCTCCATTGTTTATAGAACCTGTTTCAAGAGATTCATGGGCCAGTGAAATGGCTTAGCAGGTAAATGCACTTGCTGCCAAGCCTGATGACCTCAGTTCGATCCTTGGGACCTACATGGTAGAAGGAGAGAATGAAGTAGCACAGATGTCCTCTGCTGGGCATGGTGATGCACTTGGGAGGTGAACATCAAGCTCGTGAGGTCTAGTGGGTTGTGGGCAGGTGGACACAGCTGGCCCTAGTGACAGGTAGGTGAACCTTAGAGTTCAAGTCAGTTTAGTTTACATAGTGAGTTTGAGGCCAGCCAGGGCTGCATAGTGAAACCCTATCTCAAAATGATAATACTAGCTGAGTTGTTGGGGTTTTTTCTGCACACGGGAGTCATTTTTTCTTTCCAAGATCATTGCCTTTTTCCTTTCTTTCATCACAATTTTGACCTCCAGGGTACGGACTTTACATCTTTGTTTCCCAGGAAAAGCTTGCAGCCTCATCAGCTCTATGCTTCTCATGAATGCCTGTTGCCCCCTTGAGGAAGGCCTGCTGTTCTGTGTCAGAGTGTTTGATCAGGAGGGCATGCTGGCTTTTATCAATGCCCTCCCTGCTCTAGTAGAGATGACCCTGTGGCTTTCCTGCTTGTACTGCTAACATGGTGAATCATTGATTTCCTCACATCAAGGTCTGCACTCCAGGATCCATCCATCCCATATGGATTTGGTTTGCTTCCTATGTTGTGTTTTCATTTTCATTCATCTCAAAGAATTTACTAATTTCCTTCCATTGGTTGTTTCAAAGTGTGCTGTTTAATTTCTATATATCTGTGAATGTTATGGATTTCCACATTTCTAGTTTGATTCCACTGTGGTCATAAGAGATACTTCCTATTATTTCAGTCTTTGTAAGTTTATTGAGCCTCATTTCCTGGCATATGATGTATGCTGGAGAATGTCACCAAAGTACGAGGCGGTGGGAGGGGGTTTCTGATTCATTCTTCCCATGCTAACAAGGACCTCTGTTGGCCAGCTGTCCCTAGGGTAGCTTCAGGGTGGGGCTGGTCACTAAAAGATGAGGGTAGGATGAAGTTATCAGAAAAAAGTGATGGGGAGATATGGGAGGAGTTGGAGGGGAGGGAGTGGGCATGGATTTGATCAAAACACCTTATATGCATGTATGAAATTCTCAATAAATTATTTTTAAAAAAGAAAGAGAGAAAGACCAGGGTAGGATCAGAGGGTAGGGACAACCTCACCCCAGCCCCCAGAGAAAAAAGAGGGGCTGAAGGTTGAGTGGATCACCAATGGCCAGTGGTTGGATCAGTCACTCCCATGGAAAGAAACCTTCATAAAATCCCTAGGGACAGGTTCAGAGAGCTTCTGGGTAGTTGAATATATAGAGGAGCATGGGGGGATGGTACCAAAGGAGAGCATGGAAGCCCCTTTCTGTCCCCATTCCTGACCTCTTGCATCTCTTTTGTGCATCCTTGGTACATTATCCTCATGATAAACCAATCAACACAAGTTCCGTGAGCTGCTTAAGCAAATCAGTACAACCCAAGGAGGGGTCCTAGGAATCCTGATTTATAGTTGTTGGTCATCAGGAGGAGGTGACATAGCCTGGGCTTACATCTGCACTGAGGTGGGGACATCTTGGGGAACTGAACCCT